ATCTATAATTTCTATGTATGGAATGAATCTCATTTACAAAGAATCATCAATGCTTCAATGCTACTACATGTTGACGTTCAAATAGTCGCCGCGTTAAAATGTGTTGTTTTTTCTCAAATGATTTAGAAGAAAGCAGTGACACATTTTTATCATTATTCTTTCTAGTCATTGCTCAGGCAAGTCGGACAACATACATCTGTTGAGACGTTACGTAAAATGTAAGCAAGCTTCACATTTGTTTGAAAAACAAAAAAGCCGGTCGTCATATCATTGAATTTTTAACGATTAGGGCCAATATATGTATTGCTATGTGATGTATTACTAGAGTTTACATTTAGGAATTTAACTCGTCTATTTAAAAGAATAAGTCGACTGCGTTATCGTCGTCGTTATCGTTGTCGTTGTCTTGCAAAGACTTTCATGTAGCCCACTTCTAAAACAATTACACGAAAGCCGGAGTACTTAATAATCATGAGATAATGTAGTTTTAAGGGTGTAATCCTGAAAGAATATTTATAATAGAATGATTTCAAAGTTATATGCCTTTGAAGTTGGTCGATTGTCGATTTCGGCTATCTTGTTATACGTCAGAAGGACAATAAGGATTTCATATGAATTTTTGGACTCTCAAAAAACGAGGCTTGATGGAAAATGATATGCGTTTGAAAAAGATTGTTTTTGGACTCTGAAAATTGGTTTTAATAATGATTTCTATTGGAACATCACGTGGTGCAAACGCAGATAGTTCATTAATAAAATTTTATAAAGTATAAAAAAACATGTATATCAAGACACAGGAAATTTCGATTTTGAAACGGCTTTGGATCACTGCCTGCATGCTAAGAAACGTGTACATGTTTTTTTGTTTTAAGTTGTCCGGTGATGAAAAATGTCACCTTAACCTACCCTTCCTACTCCATTATTATCAGTATTCATCATTATTATTACAATAATAATAATAATAATAATAATAATAATAATAATAATAATAATAATAATAATAATAATAATAATGATGATGATGATGATGATGATGATGATGATGAATCGGAAATTATAATGCTTCATTTGGAGGCTCTATTATCTATTCAAGAATATCATTTTTCTATAAGGTATTTTATATATATATTTATTTATATATTGTAGAAAATATTTTAATCCGTATTGCAACAATAGAAATTAGAGCGTCTTTTTAAAAGTCGTTCTGCTAAAGTAGTAGTTAATCCGGATCAGTGTTATTGTAAACCGAATGCTGTCCCGACATGTATATTTATTTTATTCAACTATAAGAGTGTTCTTATAAGGGCGTTTTCATTCGTGAAATTAAATAAAACAGTGTTTGATGTCAAATATGACTATTCAACTACGAAGAAAAAGGATATTTTTGGGAGTAATCTTTTTAGGTCAGAACTTTATGATTTTACAAAATAATGCATCTGGTTTTCAATGATGTTTTCTGTGGCACAATTCTAAAACGTCTTAGCTTTCACTCTGTGTTTATTTATTCGGACAGGCGTCAAGTAGTCTTGGTAAGGCAGGGCTGGTACCAGCCCCCAACCACGTAATAAAACATCGTAACTCTGTTTGCTTTTCTTCGGTCCTGGAGCGGAAGTAGTTTCAGGTCTCGAAGCATTTGTGTGACGCACCCGGGGGACCTGGCTGTTATTGGCCTGTGATATACCTAGCGGACTGTTTCTGGACATTTTGTCAAAGTCTCTCTGGAGGTATGGATCCCAGACGATTGAACTGTATTCTAGGGTAGAGCGTACTAGAGACAGGAATGCTGTTTTGTGACAAGGGCAGTGTTAAGGGAAGTGTTTCAGGTTCCTTCTTAGAAATCCTAGGGTTGATTTTGCCTTCTTGGTGATCTTGCTTATATGGGTACTTCATTTCAGGTCGTGTGATATGTTGACTCCTAGATATGGATTCTCTGGTACTTGTTGAAGGATGTGGTTGTCCAACTGGTAAAATCTAGCCGATTGAACTGGTTGATGCTCATTTTGTAGCATTTCTTCGCGTTAAAGCGCATTCCCCAGGTATTAGGCCATGTTTCAAGCTGACAGAGGTCTTACTGGAGAATTTAATAATCTTTGCTGTTTTTTTTATTGTTCGGTACAGTAGGCAGTAATCAGAATAAATATACTGTTGACTTAACTGAGTCTGGTAGATCATTAATATGACAAAGGAAGGACAGTACCTTTTGGCACGCCAGAGTCAACTGTGGCTGCTTCGGATTCCTCTCCTTCTACTTTTTATTACTTTTATGGTCCTGTTAGTTAGGAAGTCTTTTAGCCGGTTGTTTATGTTTCCGTTGACTTCATACAGCTGGAGCTTATGAAGATTTTTCTTATGAGGCAGTGTGTCGAAGGCCTTGCTGAAATCAAGTATGGCCATGTCAATCTGTGATCCCGCATCATGCCTGGAGAGAAGGTCGTGGACTGTTGTGAGTAGCTGAGTTTCACAAGAAAAGCCAGAACGAAAACCGTGGTTTAATGAGGTCAAGATGTTGTTTGCCTCTTGGTGGATGAGATTATGTTTAAGTATGATATGTTCAAAGAGTTAACATGCTATATACGTTAGAGATACTGGTCTATAGTTTTCAGCTAGGTGTACATCGCCTTTCTTGAATACAGCAGAAATATTTGCGTCCGTTCAGTCTGAAGGAAGTGTACCGGTATCAACTGAAAACTGAAAGATTGTGCTTCATGCAGATGCTATCTGGTTGGCACAAGTCTTCAAAACTAGGTTTGATATCTTGTCTGGTCCCTGGGCTTTGGAGGTGTTGATTCCTGCTAAGAGCTTCTCGACCCCTTTCGTAGTAATGGTAAGGGGGTGGGGATAGAAAACTTACTTATCTTGGATGTATCAGGGAGTTGTGGGTTGCTTTCGTCCTTGGTGAAGACGGATTAGGTATTATATATGGAACAGAATCAATGCATTAATTTTATCTTGCTGGATGAAATTGGAACTTGCATTATGCTTGATTCCATCTTGCTTAATGATATCTAAACGTGCATTATGCATGATTCCATTTTGCATTTTGATATTTACACTTGCATTATGCATGATTCCATTTTGCATTTTTTTATTCTTTCATTGAGTGATAAGTTATTTATCATACTGTTTTAAAATATTAAAAATTTAACGTAATATACCTTTATGGTGCTAGCGACAACAGGACAACGGCGCGTTGTCGCGCTGTCGTCTTGTCTCTAGCGAAGCACGCCAAACGGCGCGTTGTCGTGCGGCGCGTTGTCGTGATGTCGCCTTGTCGCTTGGCTTATAAGCCAATTCTTCGCTTTGAACATAGCGACAATGTGACATCGTGACAACACACCGCACGATAAAGCGCCGTTTGGCGTACTTCGTTAGCGACAGGACGACAAGACGAAAGTCCGACAACGCGTCGTTTGGCGCTTTGTCCTGTTGTCGCTAGCGCCAACACGACGCCCAAAAGCGTTCTAAATCAGCCACCATAATTTAGGGTTTTGTTATTGTTGTACTAGACTACAGTGTACTAGTATTACTATTTTGTAGAAGTCATTCAAAATCGACTATTTTTAATTCTCTACTAAATTAAACGATGTATTCTGTTAAAGTCTGTCTTACTTTACTCGTGTTCGGCGGAGGATTTGGCAGTCTGTGAGTCTTGTATAGGACTTGTTCAAGTACTTATGACAGTCGAGCGCACTGTCTTACCGACATATCTTGCTGTTGTTTTTTTTCGGATAACCTCCATGTATGTTAAGATAATAGAGTATAAGTCAACACTATGCTTTTTTTCTACGTTATCGTCTTGTGCACGATATGCTAAGTAGATGTGCATAAACGAACGTATACTTGGAGAATCATATGCATGTTGTTCATAAACCCTAACATTAGAAACAAATCATTGATAAACCCTAACCTTAGAAACATATCATTGATAAACCCTAACCTTAGAAACATGTGATTTATAAGCACATATCATTGATAAACCTTAACGTTAGAAACATATCATTGATAAACCCTAATCTTAGAAACATGTGATTTATAAACCCTAACCTTAGAAACATATCATTGGTAAACCCTAACCTTAGAAACATATCATTGATAAACCCTAATCTTAGAAACACATCATTGATAAACCCTAACCTTAGAAACATATCATTGATAAACCCTAATCTTAGAAACATGTGATTTATAAACCCTAACCTAAGAAGCATATCATTGATAAACCCTAACATTAGAAACATGTGATTTATAAACCCTAACCTTAGAAACATATCATTGATAAACCCTAACCTTAGAAACATGTAATTTATTAACCTTAACCTTAGAAACATATCATTGTTAAACCCTAACCTTAGAAACATGCAATTTATTAACCCTAACCTTAGAAACATATCATTGATAAACCCTAACCTTAGAAACATTTAGTTGATTGATCATAATCTTAGAAATATACTGTAAACTTACTCTGACATATAGATACGTAACACTAAACTTAGAATCATATACATGTAGTTAACTAGCTTTTACCTAAGAAAGATATAGTTAACTACCTTTTACTATATAAATATGTAGTTACTTATTCTAAGAATCATCTTAGAAACTTATATTTAACTACTAGTATTACCTTACAAACATTGAGTTAACTAAGTTTTATCTTTAGCTTAGAAACATGTAGTTCACTAACTCTTACCTTAGAAACATATAGTAATATAACTTTTACCTGAATGAAAGAGAATAGATAATTAAACCTACCAACTAACTCTTGCCTTAGAAACATATGTTTAATTAACTCCCACCTTAGAAACGTGTAGTTTACTAACTCTTATCTTAGAAACAAATAAACAAATAGTTATTTCTTACCTTACATGTCCCTCACTTTTGTTATTCTAACGCAAATGACGAATACGACTCGCCTCTGATGCTGCTGACAGAAATATAATAAGCAAGATATTTTTGTAATAACTTATTTCTAATCAATTGTAAACCTGATGTTGTTGCTTTTTCAGTGGCAGCATTTACTATTCTCAAGACAGCATCATACGAAAACCTGGTCCTAATAGGTATGTTGTTATTATATTACATCAGCCTTAATATGTAATACGAACTACTTGTTCAATAGTTAAAGAGAAATGAGCTGTTGCTGTGAATATAGCATAAATGACATAAATATGACAAGAGACGTTAGCCGCGAGTTATATTGGTGTTAGCAAGGCTATAATTTCTCATATATCCAGTAACAAATTTATAATAACGCAAAATATTATTATGCCCACCCCCTTCAAAGAAGAGGGTGTATATTGCTTTGCATTTGTCTGTTGACCAAATGGTTTCCGAAGACGTAGGCTTAGGAATTTCAAACTTGGTATGGGGATTGTTCATGACCAAAAGATGACCCCTTAGGTCAAAGGCCGAGGTCAAATTGACCTTGAATATCAGAATGGTTTCCAATTAATAACTCAACAACACATGTGACTTTGACCTTCAAACTTCACAGGTGCATTGATCTTGGCCTATAGATGACCACTATTGATTTTGGGATCAAGAGGTTAAAGGTCAAGGTCATATTGACCTTGTGGGTAAAAAGATTTCTGATCAATAACTTGACAACCCATGGAGTGTTGGCGCTCAGACTTCGTAGGTGCATTGGTCTTGGTTAGTAAATGACCCCTATTTATTTTGGGGTCAAAGGTCAAGGTCATATTGAATTTGTATGTAAACGGTTACCGATTAAAAACCCATGAGCTGTTTGCCCTCAAACTTCGTACGCATTTTTTTTGGTCAGAAGATGACCTCAATGGATTTGTGAGGTCAATGGGTCAGAGGTCAAGATCAAATTGCCCTTATAAGTAAATACGGTTTCTGATCAATATCTCAACAGCACATGGGCCCTTTAACTTCAAACTAAACAGGTGAATTGGGCTTGGCCAGTAGATAACCCCTATTGATTTTAAGGGTTAAAGTCAAACTCCTTAAAAACAGTTTTGACCTTGTATGTGAACGGTTACCGATCAATAACTTGTCAACCCATGAGCTGTTTGGCCCTCAAACTTCGTAGCTGCATTTGTCTTGGCAAGTAGATGACCTCTATCGATTTTAGGGTCAATGTTAAGGTCACATTGACCTTGTTTGTCAAAACAGTTTCCTATCAATAACACGACAAACCATGGACCTTTAACCTTCAAACTTCACAAATGCATTTATTTTGGTCAGAAGATGACCTCAATAGATTTTTGAGGTCAAGGGGTCAGAGGTCAAGATCACATAGGCCTTATAGGTAAATACGGTTTCTGATCTATATCTCAACAGCACATGGGCCATTTAACTTCAAACTTCACAGGTGCATTGGGCTTGGCCAGTAGATTACCCCTATTGATTTAAGGGTCAAAGGTCAAAGTACGTAAAAACGGTTTCCGACCAATAACCAAATAACTGAAGTTGCCTTGGTGGATATTATTAATTAAAATAAAAATGCTTTTGGTATATACTTTTCAAGGTCTAATGCAATATAACAAAGTGGCTGTTATTTAGGAGGCCTACGTGATTCATTTACGAGTATATAAAATTTATGCATACATTATTGGTAAGATTTGTAATAACTTTGTCATAAATTGCTGCACACAACCTTTACGGTCACAATAACCTAGTGCCTAGTCATTTTTTTTGGTAACTAGGTCAAACGTCAGTCACAATAACTTGGCCACATGACTAACTTTCTGCCGATAGTTCATAAGAAGAAAACCCAGCAACTTAAGACTGTTCACAGAAGCCGGGAAAAAGGCGCACGTAAATAAAAGCGCTGCACAATAAAAAGTGGTTCAAGTAAAAATTCATCATAGCAGTGAAATATTTTATTATTTTTAAGAAGTAATGACATTTCAAATATGCCATAAAGAGCAAAACGCAATAATAAATTTTATGCTATAAGCGTCAATGATGTATGTAGGAATACATTGTAATTTGTGTGTGTTTTCGTTCTTCAGGTTATATACAGCGTAGTATACAAAGTGTTTAGCCAAACAGAATTAGATAAATTTATTTGCATTATTAAAGTAATTTCCAAACGTTCACTGAAAAACAACACTGCAATGTACTGCAGTACAGTAGTTTCTATATTTGTAATTATATAGAAAGTGACTGTGTTAAGTTATATATAAATATGATTTCAGCAAATATCTCCTCTGATAGACGACTTTACTTGGTGAAGAACAGCCAAGAGTTATCAGCAAATGCTGTTGTCATACTTCCGCCTACAACAAGAGCAATAACAATAGGTTTGTAACTATATATTATTGTTTTTGCTTTCTGTCATTAACCCTAAACCTGGGCAGTTTGTGTAATGGATATCGCCTTGTTTTGTGTAATGGATGCCTTGTTTTGTATAATGGATATCACCTTGATTTGTGTAATGGATGCCTTGTTTTGTGTAATGGATATCGCCTTGCTTTGTGTAATGGACATCGCCTTGTTTTGTGTAATGGATGCCTTGTTTTGAATTTTTATCACTCAATATTATTTGGATTTCAAAGTACAAAAATTGAGATTGAATATACAGCACTCACAGACTGACTTGTCTTTGTACTTGTATCAGGCGTTAGTTATTTTACGTACTAATAAGGTAAGGATATATATGATTTACTTAAGACTTTCAATTCTGTAGAATTCGGGAATGATATCGGTGTCCCACACATGTAGATGATGAAATAATTTTTTTTTGAAATCATGTAGCAACATGAGTGTAGGGATTACTGGGACATTGCAAGACAACAAATGTACTTTCATGAATATTTTTATATACCGACTTTTAGGAGTAGTTGGGCTCTCCTTTTCACCCGTGCATCGGCGTTACCTTATTTTAACTTTCGCGTACATGAACCACTTTATTCAGAATTACATGTCTTAAACACTCCAATGCCTATACCTCTAGCATAGATGTTAAAAAATAACTTAGAAAAACAAGAGAATGATAGTATACTAAGATGGATGGATGTGTGTATGTGAAGATGGATTTATTGATGGATGGATGCCCTCACACGTATCAGCAATCGGAACGTCTTCGGCTATTATCTATAATAACCTCGGAAACAATACGGAGTGAAAGTAGTTCTACCATGTGGTATAAAGTGAGAGAATGTAAAACGAATGTACATATGATTGACATCCAATTGAAAATTGAGTCTGTTTCGGTAAAATTATGATTGAAAATATGTCTGACAACCATTTTTAATTTAAATATGCCCACTGATATACAATTTTAAACAAATGCGACCGAATGTCAACAGGTTGGCATTTTGTACTTTCGGTTTCTACAATCATAATAATAAATATACAAATAATGTTTTCTATGAATTCACCTATTTTAGGTGGGCATTCACTTGAAATAATGGAAATAAACTTGTCAAAAACTCCCAGCATGAAATTATTATTTGTTTATGCGTAGGTTAGACCGAAATACCGTATCCGTTCTGTGTATTCATATTGTGTTTGAGGTCCTTATCCGAAGACTGACGGAAAGGGCCGAAAAGTTGCGAATGACGTATCAGTTTTGTTCTATTTTTTCCAGTACCAAAAGAACAGGTAAACCATGACATCGTTATCAATTCGTACATGCGCAGTGGATCGAGTTTTCTTGGACAGTTGATCGCCTATAGACCCGACACATTTTACTGGTATGAACCTCTGTGGAATTATGACAGCGGGGTTTATTACTGGGGGAAAGACTATGTATGTACCAACCATATCAATTGTGGGTTAGTATCTAAAATTATTAGATCAAACCTTTAACATAATTATAATAATAATAATAATAATAATAATAATAATAATAATAATAATAATGCATTCAAAGTTTCCTCTGAATACTTATTTGTACGGGTTCTTCTTTTAACTATAAATATTATTAAAAAAGAAAAAAAGCATGTTTACAAATTTTGAAATATTTTTTTTTCCGTACAAACAAAAATTATTCTTTCTTTCTTTCTTTCTTTCTTTCTTTCTTTCTTTCTTTCTTTCTTTCTTTCTTTCTTTCTTTCTTTTATTGTTGTATGAACAATGCGAAAATGCTTGAACAAACATTATCTGAAACATATAGACTATTGCATTGTTTTACACTGGGAAATACAAGCCTTTACCAGTCACAAAAGGCAGTGTTTAAATTGCAATATTTATACATTTAGGTATGCAAGAAACAGGAACTTGAATATAGGAAAGATGCATGAAACCTTATATAACATATATAAATGTGACTTTTCATTGCTGGCACCTGCACTAGCCGAACAGATGACGCCAAATTACTCTGGTAATAACCTTGCATGTTCTAATTTTTATATCATAATAAATATTTATCATCAAGTCTGTAAATTGCTATTTGCCATTTTTATTCCACTTTTTGTAGAATTATACAATAGTTACTTTTCTAAAAACAACCATAAAAAAATTGATTTCACATTTGTAGAGCAACCCTCTTTTTACTTCACTTTATTTATACTATCTTCTTATTAGAATAGTAATAGTCAATAATAAGACCAAAAAACTATCAATCCGGCATCACTCTTGTCTTACCAATTACAAACACTGATAATGGACGAGCACGCTGACCACTATCTTTTGGTTTTTCATACTTATTCACTACACATGTACTATCCCATTTTTTTCAACAGGTAATATTTGGAAACCTTATAAGTCTTGCCGTGCACGAGGAAAATCTGTGGAAATCTGCTTAAAACGAATGGAAACAGTATGCAAAAATGCCAAACATCGAACAACAAAAATCGTTCGATTAACCGTCGATAACTTGGAATATGTTCTTGAACATTTACCGACTGTTAAAGTCATTCATTTGATGAGAGATCCTCGAGCAATAATAAATTCTCGTATAACGACAACGTGGTATCATTTGCACGAAACACCTTACGACAATCATCGACGTATCATGACAGAAGCCAAAGATTTGTGTTTAAGAATGAAGTATGATTTGAAAGCTGCAACGGTGCTTAAGCAAAAATATCCAGGGAGATTTGCTATCATCATGTTCGAAGACCTACAAACCGACATGAAAGCTAAAACACAGATGCTGTATTCGTATGTTGGTATTGACAAATCAAGTGTTGAATCTAAACTTGGAAATATGACAGGCATTTTGCAAGAAGAGCATAACGTTAACAGAACACGAGGGAATTATTCCAACTGGTGGCGCCACCAGTTAAGTTACGGCGCTGTGAAAGTTATTGACAGTGTTTGTAAAAATGTATCCGATGTTTTAGGGTATAAGATATTTTCAAGTGAATCTCAACTGGAGGATGAATCTTTAAAAGCCTTTTTCTTCCGCAAAGAAGTACTTTTAGAAAACATATATCTTAATAAATTATATGATTTCTATTTATAATTATACTCCGAGTATTTCGCTTGTATGTATTGCAGTCACCAAATCCCGTGAAATAAGCCAAGTCTGTGCCTCTCTAGAACTATATTATTAACTTGCATATTTAACGGGCAATTACTTGATATCGTTTGATTCTTCAGGCATAGAATATTGTTGTTGTATAATTTGGTCTCAACATCATTCTAGAACAAGTTTATTTATGGCCAAATGTTTCCATTTTCTGATTCAGTTCAAATGTTGTTTTTTTGTTATTTTTCATTGTAAAAATTGATCCAAATTTGTGTTTGTTTTGTATATTTCAAAGCAGCTTTACCTCCACGCATGAACACGGGCGAGGAAGTGTTACACGAGGGACGGATTTCTTATGATCACTTGTTAAGGGGTTCTTGTGATAACTGTCACGAAGTTCGTCGGAAAACTATTGTATATACTGCAAAAATACTCGTCAAAAATGGTAATTTTCATCTTTAAAAAGTGAGTTTTCGTGAGTTTTAGGTGCTAAATTAATCTTTAATGATTTAGCTTGCCTTACATATTGTATTATGTGTCAAAAACTAATTCATAGTCCATTTTTCATCGCCTCTTGCTTAAAATCTTGTAGTTTTGAGTAAAAAATTTCAAATTATTTGCCATTTCGCAAGTATTGGCCTGTTTATCCTTGCCATACATAAGTACCTAATTATAATGCAAAATTGCAAACATAAAGCCCCGACAAACAAATTTATGCCCGATTTTTCAAATGTCCCGGAGTTCTTGTGATAACTCAAAATATGTCCTGGAGTTCTTATGATAACTTTTGTTACTGCTAATGTGTTTCTTGTGATAAGTCACGGCACGTTTTAGCGTTTTTTATTATTCAGCAAGGTTGTAAATCATTATGAAATGTAGTACGTTAAAAACTACCAGATTTTAAGCAAGAGACGATGAAAAATGGACTATGAATCAGTTTTTGACACATAATACAATATGTAAGGCAAGCTTACTTATAAAAGATTAATTAAGCACCTAAAACTCACTTTTTTACGATGAAAATTACCATTTTTGACGAGTGTTTTGCAGTCTTTACAATAGTTTTCCGACGAACTCCGTGACAGTTATCACAAGAACTCCTTAACAAGTTATCATAAGAACTCCATCCCTCGGGTAATACTTCCTCCCCCGTGATGAAGAAAAAAAAGAAAGTTTTGCAACTTTACATTTGGAATATGTATAGAATTGGCACGACACTGCCGAGATTCGAACCACGAGTATCTGGATTACTGGTCCAGTATGCTAACTACTATACCAAAGCGGCCGTTGCGTACATTTTGTGGTAATTAGCTGTATATAAAAAGGATATTTGTTTTTTGTGTAAGGTGAAATTTTATTTAATCGAGTGAACTTAAAGCAGTATTTTTACGAGTGGCGTAGTACTCAGTAATCCACGGTAGCAGAGGTGACAATTGTTCATTTTTATTTGTCTCGTGCGCACGAGATACTTTGCCGTTGCCACGATTTACTAAGTCGTGCACACGAGATAATTAAGTGGTGCGCACGAGATACTATGTCGTGGCCATGAGTTACTAGAATCAATGACGCCTAGGGGCGGGGCAACTTTTGATCCTAGGGCATTTATTTGAAAAAATTTGGTAGACAACTAATAGAGAATGTTTCGTGCCAAATATCTAATCCAGTGCTTTCGGATTGTCACAAGAAGATATAAATCTACATTTAGATTTCTTCAAAACAAACTTGTTCATAAATTTGCTAGTTTCTAAAAGTAAACAAACGGATAGATTGAAAAATTCAGATGTTTTATTACAATCCAATGTAACACCAATGCGTTTTGTTCCATGTGAAACAGTTCCCCTTTAGGTGGAGACAGCGCACTTATCTTTGCTATTTAAATAGATGAAAGGAGCTTACATATGCTTTAATTTTGGTTTACACGATATTAAATCTCGGTAAACTACAGACTGTTGCACAGTCCATTATTTGTATACGGAGGTTACAGTTGAAGAAAATGTAAAAAAAAAAAACAACAACATTTTGCAACAAAGCTTGAATCCCGAAGTGTAAAGTTGATGCATGTGAATGTTTTTATGCATTTTTATCACACACCCGTGCCGATTTTGCGACTCCTTAAAATGGTATTGCACGGCCTTGTATATTATATGTTATTTTGGTTTTGGAGTGATATATGTGGATATATTACCTGTTAAGATTTTATATCACCCGAGCCGTTAGGCGAGGGTGATATTTTATCTTGGCAGGTAATATATCCACATATATCACTCCAAAACCAAAATAATAATTTTATTACCCTTCCCCTGCCGAGTTTAGACGATTTTTTAAATAATCATTGCTGTTTCAAATGAAACGTCGAAATAAGATTCCCTTTAGGATACCTCTTCGTCACAACATGACGTCACATAAATACATGACGTATTTTTCCCGTACCTTACAAAAGTAAACAAGAGAAAAGGGGTAGTCTATTGAACGCACTTTTTTGTAATTAATATCAAGCTTTCACAAGGTCATATTTGTTTTCGATACTGATGGTTATATTATCATAACTCTACTTTGGTAAATATTTATCATTTGACAGTTAAAAAGTGCTTTTAAATCGGAATTTACACCGCGTAAAATCGAACCGTACGCGCATCATCTCCGCGCATGTTGTTTACAACGTTGGGTACCAAACGGGGAAATTTAGTGTGTATATTACCCGTCTGGCTCGGTTATATCAATTTCTTTCGGGTGATCAATATCCAATCAAAAAGGCGGAAAAAATCTGGAAGGGTAATAAATGTTGATGTGACGCCATTAGCGTTATACAAACAAAGCGTAAATACGCGTTAAATGTTAGCGTTTTACTATAGGCGCGTCAATGAAAAATGACTCTTTTTTCACTTAAAACGGTCTTTCTCTTGGGTATGTGATCCATTGAATATTAAATTCGTTTAAGTTCATTACTGAATTAATTGAACCCGTTGAATAAAATAATATTATGCTCGCCAGAGGTTTGCATAATATAATTTCATTCAACTCGTGCAATAAATTCAGTATTGAACTAGCACTCGTACTAAAAATATGTTTCACTGCAGTGAAAAATATTTTTTTCAGTGAAAATACGGAGAATAAAAAATACGCATTTTATTTCATCAATATTTCTCAATTTTTCATTTATAAGTATAAAATAACCTTTTTTATTAGCATCGTGTTAGAATGAAAATAATTTAGATATATAGAGGACATTAAATGATCGAAGTTCAATACTGAATTTATTGCTCGAGTTGGATAAAATTATATTATGCGAGCCCTTGGCGAGCATAATATAATTTTATTCAACGAGTTCAATAAATTCAGAAATGTATTTACACGAATTTAATAATCTTTTTATCACATACCCAAAATAAAGACCGTTTAAAGTGAAAAAAAGAGTCATTTTTCATTGACGCGCCTATAGTATAACGCAAACATTTAGCGCGTCTTTACACTATGTTTTTATAACGCTAATGACGTCACGTCAAAATATATGCATGGCCGTGCAATACCATTTTTACGAAGTCGCAAAATCGGCACGGGTGTGTGATAATAATTGTTCTTGCATTTTAGTAAAATTTTGCACGGTTTATTGCACAAATGCTTTGTAATTAACCACTCATGCCAATCGGTCATGGTGATTATATTCCTACGCATTTGAATTTGAACCGTTGAATTGATATCTATTTCCTAATTTACAAATAAAAAAAGAACATATTTGCAAATAAACAAATTTATTTTCGGATAAATCTATTAATAACCACACAAATTACTGTACAATAAAAATGGCTAAACCTGGATCAAGATCATCGGCTGGGGTGCCATGGTTCACCTTTACTCACCTTTGGTACAAAAGTGTATTTTATAAAACACAACCAGTTTGATAATATCCGTTAAGCCAGTGGTACCAATCAAATGGTAGTTAATGTTAACAATTGTGTACCACTGGGAAAACTTTTAAAGCACCCAATCTCATTCAACCGGGGTTTTAAGTAAAGCTACCAATACACAAAGCAAATTATAACAAGAAATGTCGAACGACACATATGCCCCCCTTTCTAGCCCTTGACTCACATTATTGGTAATATTGTTAAAGAAACTTGCCATAAATGGGTACATTGAAGTATTCAATTATGGAAAAAAGAAAAATAATGAAGACTTTGCGATAAATAGTTTTCAAGATAATGAGACATTTAAGGCCCCTGTGACCTTGACCTTTGACATAGTGACCACAAAATCAAAAGGGATCACTTGCAAGCTATGACCAATCAATATTAGAAATATGAAGACTTTGTGATGAATAGTTTTCAAGATAATTAGCGGAAACTATTCTGACATTATAAGCCCCTGTGATCTAGTGACCCCAAAAGCAATAAGGATCATCTGATGGTTATGACCAATCACAATGTGAAATATGAAGACCTTGTGATAATTATCTTTCACGATGATGAGCTGAAATCCTCTACCATTCAAAGACCCTGTGATCTTGACCTTTGACTCGGTGACCCCAAAATCAATAGGGGTTATCAATTAGTTATGACTAATCAATATGTGAAATATGAAGACTTTGTGATGAATTGTAACCAAGACAATGAGCTGAAACCATTCTGACATTTCAGGCCCCTGTGACCTTTGATCTAGTGACCCCAAAATCAATAGGGGTCATCTACTAGTAATGACCAATCAATATGTTAAATATGACGACTTTGTGATCAATACAGTTCAAGATAATCAGCAGAAACCATTTAGACATTTAAGGCCCCTGTGACCTTGACCTTTGACCTAGTAACCCCAAATCAATAAGGGTCATCCACAAGTTATGACCAAATATGTGAAATTTGAAGACATTGTGATGAAAACTTTTCAAGATAATCAGTGGAAACCATTCAGACATTTAAGACCATGTGACCTTGACCTTTGACCTAGTGACCCTAAAATCAATAGGGGTTATCCAATAGTTGTGACCAATCATTATGTGAAATATGACGAATTTGTGATCAATACTTTTTATGATAATCAGCAGAAACCATTTTGACATTTAAGGCCCCTGTGACATTGACCTTGTGACCCCAACAAGATTTTTCTATTTTTAGCTCCTGCGACCTAGTTTTTCAGCGACGACCCATATTCGAAGTTGACCGAGAACTCATAAAAAAAAACAACATTCCTGACTAATTTTCAGGATACTGGGATCAGGACTGCAACAAGATTTTTCTACTTTTAACTCCTGTGACCTAGTTTTTAACCGGAGATGACCCATATTAAAATTTGACCTAGAAATCCGCAAAACAACCTTCCTAACCAATTTCCAGGATATTTGGATTAAAACTGCAGCCACTAGTGTGAACAAGACTTTTCTATTTTTAGTCACTGTGACCTAGTTTTTGACCGGAGACAACCCATATTCGAACTTGACCTAGAAATCATCAAAAAAACTTTCCTGAAAATTTTCAAAAATATTTGGATCAAAACTGCAGCCACTAGAGTGTTAACAAGATTTTTTTATTTAAAGCTCATGTGACCTAGTTTTTAATTGGAGACGACCCATATTAAAACTTGAACTAGAAATTATAAAAACAACTATCCTGACTTATTTCCGGGACACTTGGATAAAAACTGCAGCTACAAAAGTGTTAACAAGATTTTTCTATTTTTAGCCCCTGTGATCAGAGATGACCCATGTTTGAACTTCTCCGAGCAATTAACTAGACAACCATCCTGAGAAAGTTTGATGACAATTGAGTCAAAAGTGTGAATTAACAAAGTTTTTCCACATTTGGGCAGTGTGTCCTAGTTTTTGACCCAAGGTGATCCATACTCAAATTGACCTAGAAATCATCAAAACAACCTTCCTGATCAATTTCTAGGATATTTGGATCAAAACTGCAGACACTAGTGTTAATAAGAGTTTTCTATTTTTAGCTCCTGTGACATAGTTTTTTGACCGGAGATGACCAATATTCGAACTTGACCTAGGAATCATCAAAACAACCTTTCTGATCAATTTTCAGGAAATTTGGATCAAAACTGCATCCACTAGATCGTTAACAATATTTTTCTATTTTTAGCTCCTGTGACCTAGTTTTTGACCAGAGATGACCCATATTCAAACTTTAACTAGAAATCATCAAAACAACCTTCCTGACAATTTTCCAAAATATTTGGATCAAAACGGCAGCCATTAGAGTGTAAAAAAGATTTTTCAATTTTAAGCTCCTGTGACCTAGTTTTTGACCAGAGATGACCCATATTCATACTTGACTTCGAAATTATCAAAACAACCTTCCTGACCAATAATTAGGATATTTGGATCAAAACTGCAGCCACTAGTGTTAACAAGAGTTTTCTATTTTTTAGCTTCTGTGACTTAGTTTTTGACCGGAGATGACCCATATTCGAACTTGATCTAGAAATTATCAAAACAACCTTTCTGATCAATTTCCAGGAAGTTTGGATCAAAACTGCAGCTACTAGAGCGTTAACAAGATTTTTTTAATTTTTAGCTCCTGTGACCTAGTTTTTGACCAGAGATGACCCATATTCGAACTTGACCAACAAATCATTAAAACAACATTCCTGACAATTTTTCAAAATATTTGGATCAAAACTGCAGCCACTAGTGTTAACAAGAGTTTTCTATTTTTAGCTCCTGTGACCTAGATTTTGACCAGAGATGACCCACATTCATACTTGACTTCGAAATCATAAAAACAACCTTCCTGACCTATTTCCAGGAAATTTGGATCAAAACTGCAGCCACTAGAGTGTTAACAAGATTTTTCTATTTTTAGCTCCTGTGACCTAATTTTTTTACCCGAGATGATCCTTCTTCGAACTTGACCTGTATTTTATTGAGACAAACATTCTGACAAAGTTTGATGATGATCCAATTAAAACTGTGACTGCTAGACTGTTAACAACCCAATTGTTGACGACGAACCACGCACAACGCACGACGCCGGACATAGCCCCATCACTATACCTCACCTTGACCACTTCGTGGTGAGGTGAGCTCAAAAATTGACAATTTAACAAAAAATCTATACTTTGACCTTGACGGTAAAGGCAATTTAAAACTCAAGGTCAAGGTCAGTTCAACATTTGAAAATGCCTTGTCTAAAAGGTTGTTTTGTCCAAGTATGAAAATAATCCATTGATTAATTACAAAGTTACAGCCAATTATAGCGATAATCAGTGAAAATAAAATAATTTGATCTGCAAAGTCAAGATCATACACGAGTCAAGATCAATTTGAGTTTGATATACATGTAGGTCCTAACCTAAAATAATATCTTAATATGAAGTTAATTCATTCATAAATTGCAAAGTTATAGCCTGTTACAGAAAGAAACAAGGGTATTTGATTAATTGGACCATGGCAATCAGGTCAAGGTAGCATCCAAATTATTCTATATGTTTGTTTGGAAGCATCCAAGTTTAAATCAAATTCGTACATAAATAACAAAATTATGACAATTTAACCAAAATTCAATAATTTGACCTTGACGGTTAAGATCATTTAAAGCTTAAGGTCTCAAGATAAGTTAAACCTTTTATAAGGTCTTGTAAAAACAGTCGAGCTTAAATCGAAATTATATACATATCTTATCAATTAAATTATATTTAATAGCATATTTTTAACAAAAAGGCAAATGATTATTATTCCTCTGTGACCAAGATTATTCCATTAAAAGATATTATCATTAATTATTAGTATATGTAGCGAGCATGCACCCAGATTTTAAGCTTCATAAAAATGTGTTATTCCGCTACCATTAAATGTTCTTGCATTTGAGTTTGAAAAATTCTGTTTTAAGTACATAGTCAAATCGGTATAGAATGAAATCAGGTGAACTGAAACATGTACATGTTTTGACCATTTCAGAATGAAAATTAATTTAGGAGCAAGCGTGGTCTCAACATATTTTACTGAACGAGAAAGAGAGATTATATATGTTATATATGTTATATAAATTTCTGATGTCTTTATAAAGTTTTGATGTGAAGCTGTCAAGAAGAATTAAATATACCTCTTTTCTTCTTGCGCTAGGGTGAATTCTTAAAAACATATAATCTTTTCCATATCTTTTAATGGAATAATCTTGGTCACAAAGGAATAATAATAATTTGCCTTTTTGTTAAAAATATGCTATTAAATATAATTTAATTCTCTGTATCGTCATTTTACGTGGTATTGTTTATGAACGTCTATAATATTTCTGTGTAGGATGAATTGCGCATATACACACTTTTGATTTTAAGGCCTTTGGAGCTCCACAAAAGGCATGCGCGAAGTGGACGATTTTATTTTTTTATTTCTGTAGAATAAAGGCATCATATCTTCAGAAATAGTTTTTTTTTCATGACGACATTTTACCATCTAAATGGATAAAAAGCAAGGCGACATTATATCAGCAGAACTTACTATATACATGTAACCAAAATACTGGCTTTATATTTATTAATTAACTTTGATATTCAAGTGATTGTAGATATTCATAATTAAGCCCTTCCGTCCCTTTTTTGATTGAGCATATACATTTTGATTATAGAAAATGCCAAATACACGTGTAAACAAGAAACATGGCAATGCCACGAAACCAAGTTTTTAATTATTACCATTGTTTGGTTGTCATAATAATTATGTGGAATATACATAGAAGCAACCTACAATATAACTTCATGCATTAAAACAGTAACAAGGAGCCTATGGAGCTCAAAAGCAAGCCAAATTGAGTCGTTCAAATACTGTAGGAATAATATACAAGTTTGACTAAAATCTCTTCCTAAATCTAGTAGTAGATCGGAAACCAATTTTCTATTTTTAGTAACAGTTGCTTTTTCTTGATCCTAATAAACCCAAAAGCAATCCCAAGCGAAATCTTCACATAAACTTTTTATACATAAGTTTTACTGAAATTACAAATATGTCACTCCAAACTCTAAATATTGATCGGAAACTGATTTGCTATCTTTAGTAACAGTGACTTTGGCCCTTGGGGATTTAAAAGCAACCACAAGCAATAAATGTACATCAGTTTTATATACACAAAGTTTCATTGAAATATATCATTCCAAACTCAAGTTATTAACCGGAAAATGATTTTCTATTTTAAGTTACAGTAACGTTGACCATGACCCAGGAGGTCCAAAAACAACCATTAGCAAGGTATTTTCATAACTTTGATAAGCAAGGTATTTTCATAACCTAACAATAGGCACTTGATGTGAAAGTTTGGTCAAAATCCCTTAAGAAATGTATGAGGATTTGCGCACAGAAAAAATTGTTTTCGCCCCCCCCCAATCCGGCCGCCCGCCGACATACCTCAATCTAATAGCCAGTTTTTTCCTTCGGAAAACCTGGTTAAAAAGTTATGAGTTTTCAAAAACTTAATTTGGCGACGATTCTCTCATCGATGTGTTACTCACAAAGTTCATCTTCTTTATTATATTTTTATTTCACCTGAAACTCAATAAGAGGTGAAAATCTTGACCTCTCTTTATCCAATTTTGCGTAGAGTTTCGCCTTACATGCAGTTTTTCCTGTCGTCACAGAACCCTCCCAAATGCCATCGTTAATGTCCTTAAAATGAAACCAGACGTCACCAATTAACAAAGCGACGTCAATGGCAAGGGGCGCCCTCACACGGAATGTCACTTGTCTATCAACCGGAATGTCACCACAGTTGGGTTCCAGCAATGTACCATGAAGCCATCTGTGACATGCTCTCGGAAGAGGGCGTTTGTCTTTGCCTGGTTGCCTGCATTGTATTAAGTATCGAAATAAACAATCGTATGTAACCGAACCATCTTCAGTACATGGGTTATTTTCACCAAGTATGGAAAGGACATATTTACCCTGTAAGGGACATCGTATTTGATATGTAACAGTGTTCTCGTCTCTGTGTTTTATGAACACGTATCTCTGAATATCGGGGATTTCGTTATCCCATGGTCCATAGTATTTAAAGGTATAACTGAGCTTGACATCTCTATTCTGAAGCTTAAATGTACAACAACAATCTTCATGACTGTAATGAATTAAAGGGTCGATATGTGTTTCAGGCAGAACCCCACACTGACTCATTGCAGGGGTTGGGCCAAAGAAGGGTACTTTCGGGAAAGGACTTTTGATTGCGTCTCTATTTTCAACACATTTGATTCTGAAGGCACATGCACTCTGAAGAGATTCTGAGTTCCAGTCATCCTTGGCGTAGATCGTAAAGAAATATCTACCAGACTTAGGTGGCGCCACAGTAAATATTGCATTATGACCCACAATCCTCAGCATCACGCGCCCTTCAAGACGGGAAGAATTGATCGTTTTATCTTTTGCTTCAAAGGTGTAGCCAAACCCAAGAAGATTTGGAATCTTTAACTGTAAAACTACAATACCATTTTGTGTATATTGTATACAATCATAATGAACAGAGAACCGTAATCCATAGTTGAAAAATGGCGATTTCACAACCGGAAGTGTAATAAACTCTGTTAGCGTTATGGGACATTCTAGAAGCTGCCATTTTGGATCATTCGGATAATGTTGATAGATATGATCCTCCGGATCCGTTACAAAATAAAATTCATCACATTTATAGAAAAACTTTTGCATGTCTTCAGCTTGACCTTCTCTTTTAACCTGATGACCTTTAACATGCCTCGCGCCCCAGTTACAGTTTATAAAGCACCATGACCCTGTGATATAGACTGCAGTCCATGAGTTTCGGAACTTGTCGCCCTCAATGCGCATGCCTGGTCTATAACCGGCCCCTTTAGAATAACCCTGAATCACCTCGCAGTATAAACCAGCATAACTGAAACAAATCCATAAATTATATGTGATGTCCATCAAAAATACATTTCAATATCATAATTTCACAATTTAAATGTACTGTAATAAAAAATTATGCATTTGTTGATCTTAGATTTACAATTAAAAGAAAACATTTTATATGCGATAGAATAAACCATACATGTATGTATGTTCAAGTTTGTAACTCACCTCAGTTTTATGATGTGGAATATTAAACAATAACTATATCGATGGTAAAGTTATAGAATTCATGAATATTTTAAGAAGATGACAATTTACTTATCCGCTCTCGGGATGATGATAAAATCAGCTATACTATCCGCCTTTTGTATAACGATATCTTATATGTTGCCCTATTTTTTCATTCAATGATATGGTTTGTACTGGCTTAAAAGCATTTATTTCCAGAAAAAGCCTTCAAGAAAAAATAAAAATATTAAATGGTAGATCTATATGATAAGAAAAAATCTTCCATTTCGCGCATGTGCTTTTACCAAACGACAGATAAAATGTTTGCCGCTTCTCGGATGCTTCACCAATAATTCTAAAACACTAACATTTTTCTCATATGAAGCACACATAAGTCGAGTGCACTTATACACGATAAATGCACGGCATACAAATGAATGCTTACACGTCATAATTATGACGTCACATCAGACGTCAATAATTAACCAAATGCCGTCAGGAAAATTACTCAACGTAGTTCAACATATTATTATTATTTTTATCATTTCTCTTTGTCATTAGCATGTTATAATGAAAACAAGGCAGTCTGAAGGACAGCTAAATATCCCTCCGCAGCGGACATGAATGTATACTCCTTTAACAAACCATGACCTTAATAGTAATTATGTGTGTCAAGTTATTTAAAATCTTCCATAAAGTCAAAAAGTTATGGAGTGTGCTAAGTTACATGTATATCATTTTTTAGCAGTTTAAAAGTTATAGAGTAGACACAACATGTACACGTTAAACAATTGACCTTTAAATGTGAACTTGACCTTGGTAGCAACCTTATTATTGCGCTCTGCACATCGTCTCATAATGGTGATCACTTGTGCCAAGTAATTTTAAAAATATTTCAGTAGTTTAAAAGTTATGGAGCGGACAAGTGTGATTCTAACCTTAGGGGTAGCAACCCAATTATTAGGCTCTGCACATCGTCTCGGAATGGTGATCACGTGTGCCAACTTGTTTCGGAAAAATATCAGCGGTTTAAAAGTGGAGCTGACACGAAATGTACACTTTTAACACTTGAACTTCAAGTGTGACCTTGACCTTGGGGGTACCAACCTAATTATTGGGCTCTGCACATCATCTCATAATGGTGATCACTTGTGCCAAGTTTTTTTTTCAATCAGCGGTTTAAAAGTAATGGAGCGGAATGAAATGTAGACTTTTTAACACTTGACCTTCAAGTGTGACCTTGACCTTGGGGGTAGCAACCCAATTATTGCGCTCTGCACATCGTCTCATAATGGTGGTCATTTGGGTCAAGTTTTTTAGAAAAATTCAGCGGTTTAAAAGTTATAGAACGGACACGAAAGTGTTAAGGACGGACAGACAGACTGACAAACGGACGGACGGACTGACTGACAGACAGAAGGAGACCATTCCTATAATCCCATTCCCGCTACGCGGAAGGATTAATAAACATTTTCTTGCGTTGTAGTAAATAAATGCACGGTTTATCGTTCAAATGATTTGTAATTAAATAATTCAATGACATCATCAAATAGTTGTTAGTTTTATCTAAAATATTTCGGAACTTCACGGATATTCAAGTTAACAGCATGACATAAATATGCAGAGAAAGAAAGAAAGAAATATGCTGTACATGCATGTATATTAAACCAGCAAATTAATCTAGGAACTATTTGCATATTTCATTTACAGTTAAATATGCGACTGGTGGTTCTCTTGCACTGCACTCCGCCTTAAAGCGCAGTTTCAACAAATTAGGTCCAAGGGTTTTCAAGTTATGCTCCGGACAACCACAACGGACGGACAGACGGACGATGAACAGACGGACAAGGTGGTGACTATATGCTCTCCCTGTGGGGAGCATAAAATAGCCTCTTTAGTGTGAACAAGGTTTTTCCATATTGGGGCTGTGAGACCTAGTTTTTGACCCAATGTGACCCATATTCGAACATGACTTAGAAATCATTAAAACAACCTTTCTGCTAAGTTTCCAGGATATTTGGACTGGAACGGAAGCCCCTAGAGTGCTTACAATGTTTTTCCATGTTTGGGATGTGTGACCTAGTTTTTGGCCCCAGGTATTCAAACTTGACTTAGAAATCATCAAAGGAAACTCCGGGATATTTGGAAAAAACAGTAGCCACTAGAGTATTAACAATATTTTTCTATTTTTAGCTCCTGTGACCTACTTTTTGACCCGAGATGACCCATATTCAAACTTGACCCGTATTTCATTAAAACAAATATTGTGGGGAATTTGTATTATGATCAAACCAAAACTGTGACTGCTAGAGTGTTAACAACCTCAATGCTGACGACGCATGAAGCGCAAATGGCGCACGCCGGACATAGACCCTTCACTTTACCTCACTTCCTGGTCATTATAGAAATATTGTTCTTTTGCACTGTGCTCATTTTTCTAGCCTTTAGAAGTGTGTGAAATTCTAATGAATTTCCATTGATACGTTGGGACAAGCATTTTTAAATATTTCAAAAGGAGATACTTACAAAACTAAGTAATGTAGGGTTATTATTCTTTGACAATGCACTTCCTTTCTACAACTTTGTGGAGTTTAAATGAGATATCGCATATATTCCGGACAATATGCAATATTTATCATTCTTAAAGGGAGATAATTAAACAAGAGCTGTCGGTAGGACAGCAACGCTCGACTATTCTTAGTGCTTGATAGTAAAAAAAAATTGCTTGATACAGTTACCTCCTCCTGTTTACAGGTTGGGGTAATGATGGTGAACAAGTGTGCAAAGTTTCAAAGCCATATGTCAATGAACTTTGAAAATATTTGAGGTATTACAAAAACTTTAACATAAATTCTAAGTCAAAAAAGGGGCATAATTCTGTCAAAATGCTTGATAGAGTTACCTCCTCCTGTCTACAAGTTGGGGTCATGATGGTGAACAAGTGTGCAAAGTTTCAAAGGCATATGTCAATGGACTTGGAAAATATTTAAGGTATTACAAAAACTTCAACATAAATTCTAAGTCGAAAAAGGGGCATAATTCTGTCAAAATGCTTGATAGAGTTACCTCCTCCTGTCTACAGGTTGGGGTCATGATGGTGAACAAGTGTGCAAAGTTTCAAAGCCATATGTCAATGGACTTTGAAAATATTTGAACTATTACAAATACTTTAACATAAGTGGTTACGCCGACGCAGACACTGACGCCGACGCCGACGCTCGGGTGACTGCAATAGCTCTACTTATTCTTATCGAATAGTCGAGCTAAAAATAAAGCAAGGAAGAATTATGGTTATTGGACACTGCACTTCCTTTTACTGGTATCAATCACTGTGACAAAGTTATAGTGAAAAATATTTTACTGCACCAAAACTTTTATCTGAAATCTAGACGCGGACGCCGACGCCGGGGCGAGTAGGACAGCTCTCCATATACTTCGTATAGTCGTGCTAAAATGATCAATAGTTAAATTTGAGTTGAATGTGTACAAATGTTGGGGAGATAATGAATGGAAACTGAAAATTTCTTTCTTTTTTCAAAGTAAATGGGGCATAACTCTGCTAAAAATCATCGAACCATGACCAAATTCGAACTTGACCTATGCATTCCATATTTCAAATTTGAGTTGAATGTGTACAACTGTTGGGAAACTAAAAATTCCATCAAGGGGCATAACTCGCTCAAAAATCATCGGACAATGACCAAATTTGAACTTGACCTGTATTTTCTTATCATATCTTTGAGTTGAGTGTGTGCAACTGTTAACAAGACAATAAATGGAAACTGATGATGACAGAATGACGGAACAGGGAAACACTATATGCTTTTTATACTAGTATAATATAATATATATATGATGTCTAAGCTCGAATAATTTGTAATGCATGTGTAAGAATAGGACTATTTCATTCGTAATTTATAGAGTACACAGATTTTTCTGCGCACATTTTATCTGCCGTTTTTTTAAATTGAGACACATACATGTAAATGAAATAGATCCTTTTAATTCATCGAACCACAGCTATCTCATTGAATGAAAAAGTAGGGCAACTTTTCAATTTTTCAAACCTGCAAAGTCTCTTGAAAAGGTCATGGTAGCTCTCTGTGCCGTACTTTATACCTCTCAACAGACCGAGAGGGGACTCAGGGTTCACAGACTCATCAACGTCCAGTTGGTTCAAATCTTTCCATGTAATCCACCGGAATAGTGATCTGAAATAAATGTTATAGCAACATTTATAGTTTCTATTTATTTTCTCAGTATGACTTCTTGCATTTTTTAAACCCTTAACCTGTTGAAAGCTTGGCCTGGCTCTAAACTTGACGGATATAATTAATGGTGACTTAAAAAACACTAACCTACTTAGTGATTAGAATTACGTTTTGAATCTTTACACCTCGCAAGTGTAATACGCTGACTTAACGAGGCATTATTTCATAAAATTTTGTTTCGATTAAATAAATTAAATGTACGGAAGAATTTGAAAAATGGAACGATCTCTTTTGACAAAACAAAAACTAACATACTTTTAACATAGTTTTAATATAGTTTTATCCCTTTCTAAAATTTCATAAAAACTACATAAAAAATGCTACTTTTACGCGGTAGCAGAGATGTGTCATGCACAACTCTTCTTTACATTTGACTTTTATTATCTCGTTCCAACGAGATACTATTTCGGGGGAACGACTTCGTGATATTGAGCCACTAAATCGTAGTTAAATCTTATGCATTGACCCCAATATAGTCTCTAAAACCATGCTCTTAATTGCTCCCGGCGAAATTAAGTTTCGTTCATCATAAAAATTCCAAGAGCTGTTGTAGGACAGCGCGCTCGACTATTCTCAGTGCTTGAAAAAAAAAACATAAAAAAACGAGAAAAAAAAAACGATTCTGGATAATTCAGATTTTTTTAAGTTAAGAGGATCCCAATTCTGTCCAAATCAATGTTAGAGTTATAGGCCTTGGAGACAGTGACCTTCTATTATGCTCTTAAATCAGTCTGTGAAGTTTCAACTCATGTTCTACAGTAGTTTTACAGATATAAAGTTGCACCAAAGTGTGAAATTTCGAGTTAGTAAGTCGAAATTTCACGTTAATAAGTCGAAATTTCCGGTTAGTAAGTCGAAATTACGAGTAAATAAGTCAAAATTTTCGGGTAAGAAAGTCGAAATTTAGAGTTAGCAAGTCGAAATTTCGAGTTAGTAAGTCAAAATTTCGAGTTAGTAAGTCAAAATTTCGAGTTAGTAACCCGATTTATTTCAGTAAGTATAATTGGTAAGGTTGCCGGGTGCAGTCCCGGTTAATAAACAACCAACAACAAATTAATAAATCAAAAATGTAAATTTAAACAAGAGCACCACATAGGCGTGGCAATATACGCCCGAATGCAAATTTGTTTTAAGAAAATAAAATTTTAAGTAATCAAAAATAATTTTTTAACAGAGAGGATACCCATTTATAACATTTGTCCATGTTTTATTTCAATTATCAATATAAAGCTCTATATTGATACATGCCAAAGCGCTATGCTCTTGTCACATGAATATTAGTGACAATTGTACCATATATCGTATAATACAAAGCTTTCACTGTGCAGTACAGACCCCAGACATGTCACCAGTCATGCCCTTAAAAAGCTTATTTTGAAGCATAGAGTGTTGATTATTTTCCTCCATGCAATTGTCACAGCTTCTATATACTGATTGAAAACACAATTTTTGTTTTTGTTGGTTTTTAAATGATAAAAATTAAAAATAAAGAAAAAAAAACAACATGTAAATAACATACCCGAAATATAAAAGCACAAAACATAGAAAAATCAAGATTATTTGTTCTAACTTTACAAAGTGATGATACATGCTAAAAGTCTTTGCTCTGCATGTTTTAAGTTGGAGGAAAAGACTTAAAACATGTATACTATATAAATCTGTATACATGTGAACTGCGCGAAACCTACCCATCCCCCACCAACCCAATGGACAGAGCCATTTTATAACATCAGTGAAATGATTTTTGGAACAACTGTAGGGTTCTTCTTTGTAATGATACACGTCTTGAATAACTGAGATCTGGGATTTGTAACTTTACAAAATAACACATTCATGAAAATAAGTTTTTCTATGTGACACCTGGGACAGGGCCAAATTGACCCATTGAGCATGATTTATAAAAAATTTTAGATGTCAATAAGGCATGCTTCATGCAAAAAATCTAAGCTCTAACATAATCATATTTTGGGGCATATGAAAATGTGTTGTTACATGTATTACCTCCATTGATTTAAAGCTTTTAAAATTTGCAGTGATAGTCATGGCCTAAACTTTCTGCATTTTTTTTTTATTCATGGTATTTCTTCCTTTGAACATATAAACCATGCAGGTACAGCCACTTTAATATTCAGCCTTTAAACTCATATTAGTCTTACAATTAGAGAAAAACTGCCCACAAAATGGCAAACTCAAACAGAGGCAGCTTTGTAAATTAAAAACTGCCGGTACAGCACTTCAGACATCATTCATGTCCAAAGTTTTGATAAATTGCCTTTAACAAAAAATGACAAGTAGTTTCAATTTCCTTTCATCGGTTCAAAAGACAGAGACCGGACACGAAAACTCCTATCTAAGTCTATTTAAATTATTTATCTCCGGGGCGGTGCCAATTTTGATCTTAGGAAGTCCAAACTTGTGCTCTGCACACCGTCTCAATATAAGTAATATTTCTGCCTTAAAGTTTTAATTCCTTTCTACCGGCTCAAAATATACAGAGCGGACACACAATTTTGATACTGATACAAAAGGTGACCTTGACCCGAGAAATGTCATAAGTGTGACCTTGACCCGAGAATGTCAAATCTGCGCTCCGCACATCATCTCATATTGATAACATTACTGCCAAGAAGTTTCAATTTCCTTCTACTGGTTCAAAAGATACAGACCGGACATGAAAACCTACTTATAGACGGACATGCGGACGGATGTTCTTTCTGAGTTGACATTATGTTTTTTTTTTTGCTTGATCTTCTTTGATCTCTAAAACCCCATAAACAACGTTTTTGCACCCCATAAGCAGCTTTTCCCCCCCACAAATACAAGTCTGTACGGAATGAACATGGATATTCACCCAATAATGTCACTTAAGTCTGTACGGACAGACTGATGGACGTACAACCAGGTGCATAACGATATACGCTGAAATTCTTTCAAGCGTATAACAATGAAAGCTTTTGCGAATCATGAATTGAAACTTGCAGAATTTTAAAGTTACTTCTCACACTGATTTTTAGGGATTTTCTGTATACATACGGGATGCTAAATTGTTAATAAGGACTATCAAATAGGAAATACCGTACCGTGCCTTTTCCAGATCGGTTTCACAATCTATGATAAGATCTTTGACAAGGTCAGTAAAGGTCATGTACTCATTTTTTGCAACCTGGAAGAAAAGATTAATTAAACTATTTCAAGAAACAATATACAAGCTGAGAGACTATCTAACTTTGAAATACTTCTGTATTCGTTTACATGCGCATCTTTTTTCTGTTAGATCTTTTATTTTTTAGTTTTACATCGCTATTATTCTATATACTCCTGCAAAGTAAAAAAGAAGATAATTCAAAAGATGTGACAAGCGAGAGCGAGGTTTTAAGCACGTGTAAAATTGCTGAGATCAGCTTTACACTGGAAAACCGAATTAAATACTACCTTGACGAATGCGTAGTTGTGATAGGGAAAGCGTTACGATATGTCTGTATTAGTACTGTGTACTATTTTATACTGTGACAGGACGGTTACGACGGGGTGGAACCCCATATGAATCTCAAAATTGAGCATCGGTAAAAAATATATGTGAATTTTCGCTGCTCAATATGTGCAGTATAACTCGATATGTGAAGGGGAAAATACGTCAATCACATGGTAAGTTTTCAACATTTTAAAAATTAATATAAAATTCAAAGCTTTTTTTAAGAAAATCGAAATGTGATTATACCCTCCTGACTTTCCTCTATATTTACCCAGTTTTGTTCGGATTTTTATGCAGTCTTCGTTGAGATATTCTTTCCGTCGTGGGTTCTGGTATGCCAAAAATATGCAATGCGTATGCAGAAAATGTCGCTAAACGGACACCAAATGCAGAGATTTCACAAAATCTTACCACCAAACTATGCTTATCATTCAAACAAACCCTTATTGAAACATTTATTGAGATTGGTCTTAAAATAAAGGAATTGCCGGTCAAAATTCCATCTGAGCTTCATATGTGCTGAAGAGATCCATAGGTGATATAGGAAACCATCTACGAAACTACGGATCACTTTCATATAGTAATTGAATAGCCAATCTAAAGGAACAATTAAAGTTCCGTAGCTTTGACTGAAAGCACATTAGTCCGTAAGTTTGGTAATTAAATATCATTACCTCAACAGGCTAACTAACTATCTGGTGCTATCTATCTATAGTCTATGTTTAATGAGGGTCCATCCGCCCGCAAGGGCACAAAATGCAGCTTTCGCTGTCGAGTACGGACCCCGGACATGTCACCAGTCCTGCCCTTAAAGAGTTAATTTTGAAGAACAAAGTGGTGATAATATACTTCCATGCAATTTTCACGGAGTATTAGCCAAAGATATTAATTTTGAGCTGAAAGTAGGTCACTGTACGGCGGTCAATGAGAACCTGTACAGTAACCTGTGACAATATGAAAGGTTAGCCCTGACAAGGGCTGTTTGTGCCAGCAAAAGGCCTGCCATTCAAGCCGTCTAATCGTGCTAAGGAGCACACCATCCTCGTCGACCCATGCGCCTACTTTGTAGGCCCCTCCCCCTTCGGCATTAGTCAAGACACCGGCAGCTGGTCCGCAGTTGTTGACGAAGTAGGGGTCCCGTGATAACGCCCACTATGGCTTCAATTTAAGTTTACTACCAGCCAAGCTGTAAATCTTCTGCCGATGCCCTGTGCCTTCTCAGCGACGTGCACGTGAGAAGACTATCTGGTGCTAGCAATATAAATGTATTTAAATACCTGGACCCATGACGGAAAAATCCAAACAAAAATGGGTAAATATAGAGGAAAGCAAGGAGATTATAATCACATTTCGATTTTCTTAAAAAAGCTTTGAATTTTATGTAAAATTTTTAATGTTTAAAATGTTCAAAACTTACCCTGTGATTGGCCTATTTTCTCCTTCACATATCGAGTTAAACTGCACATATTGAGCAGCGGAAATTCACATATTATATTTTACCGATGCTCAATTTTGTGATTCATATGGGGTTACAACCCCGTGGGTACGCTTACCACGGGGTGGAACCCCATATGGATCTCAAAATTGAGCATCGGTAAAAAATATATGTGAATTTCCGCTGATCCAGATGAGCGCTATAACTCGATATGTGAAGCAGAAAATAGCTCAATCACATGGTAAGTTTTCAACTTTTTAAAGATAAATGTCTCGGTGACATTATTCAGATTTGATCTTAATTAAAATAAATAAAACATTTAAGTATTAAGCTAATACCTGAACCACGCAGTAGACAGTCTTAACGCATAGTCTCTTACACTACACAAGAAGTCTGTAAAAGAAGGCCTATTTGAACTTTTTTATAAATGCGTATGCTAACACGAAAGATCTTAGGTTTTTTAGCAGGTTGTCTTAGGCAAACAAAGTATACTGCACGATATGGAAATGGTTTACAATGTATGGTCTGACCATTGCTAGCCTAACAAAACAATTGCAGAGACATGTCGATGTGTTTTTCAAAAAGCGGACAATAATTCCCAATGTTAATGGTCACTATTAAAAAGGCTGGATCAACTTAAAACATAGGTCTTACATCAAAAACATGGTGGTCAATTTTCTCAAATTCCTTTGGACTTTTAAACATCTGAGACCTTTTCGTTTCCGGTGGACAAATGGACGGTGTTTGTGTAAGTTCAGCAACTTTTCTTTCTGTGTCTTTCATCTGCATCTCCTCACACTCATGAACAATTTCCATTGTCTGAAATATTCAGGTTTGTAAAACATATTAGAAATCATGCAGAAGAGTTATGACCTTTTAACAGAATGTAAGACAACCATTTTAAAACACAATCAAATATTATCTTCCCTTCCTGTAATTTTAGCTAAGGTTTTGGATACTAACATTAACTTCGGAGAGACGCTCAGCTATCATCACTAACATTTCCTGACTGTGTTTTTCAATCAATTTTGACACGCTTTCCTTTGCATCAGCACTTAGTCTTTCCATTAACTTCCGGATCCTCTCCTCTTTCTTCTTCCTGAAGTCGAAAATATTTATGCTAATCATTTTTATAGAAAAAGAGGGATAACTGAATCAGTCATGTAGGTTAAAATGACAGTGACAAATCTTACGTTTCTATGTCACGACGACTTGTTAGCGTAGCTGTGTGCAGAACGTGTCCAACTATACACTAAAAACTATCAATTCCTTAAGGATCAAAATAGTAAGAATCATTAGCCAGCATGCATCCAGGTTGCACAAATAACCGTGATTTGGAAAAGGTCTGCTGTCACCGCCTGTGCAAAGGCAAAAATAGTTTGACAAAGATTACATTTTTTCCTACCTTACTGGAGAAATTAACTGACATAAAGAACGAGTACATGAACCTAACCAAAGTCAAATACATCGTCACTTTACCGGTGTTCTACAAAAATTACATGCCATGTACAAGATTAGCTTCGACTTATAAAGGACTTATAAACGTTTGATCGCATAATAATTTTATGTAAGCAAAATGCATTAAAAACTATAATCATGTTCGAAATCTGTAGATCTACCTGTAATGCGATTCTAGTTTTTTTTTCTCTGACTCTAAAGTTTCGGGATCTTTGTATTTCTTCAGTTGTTCAAACCCCTCAATCATCTCCCGTACGGACCTCTCCTTCTCTATCTCTAATTCCTTCTCTATCTTCTCTAATTTTTTCTGTTTCTCTGTCTTAAGTGTGGCGTATAATTCATCCTCTTCCAGTTTCTGGCGTTCTTCTAACTGAGACTGGGCCGCGTACACGCCCGATTTCTCAAAGTCCTAAAATGTTTCAATTGAAATTGTATGTGACTAAGTGATTTACAAGAACTAAAAAAATGTTATTTGGAATTTAAATAGTTGTGTAGGCTTTTTTGAACTTGTAAACTTCAGAGATTCATGAAAGACTGGTAGCAAAGCTCCAAACATAAACAATTAACAGGCATGCCCAATGAATCTGCTTAAAACTCCCGTTGGACCATCATCTATACCTTTTTCTTAGAGCAGTGTCATTTTGCTGACAAAACGGCTTTTTGTTGTTGTTGTTTTTCTGCCAATAATATGAAAAATATCCGGATGTTAGCCGAAATATACAGTTACAAATATTTATTTTAACTTTCATAATTTTCAAATCCGATGTTGACGTTTCAATTTGAATGGTCTAAAGAAGATTTTACCTGATAAGTTCCGAGAGATGTTCGAGAGTTTTTCTCACGATGGTGTGAATAATCCAGCGAACCAGTGCTGTACTGGCATGCTGGATTATAAACGCTTCCTCTAAACTACAAATACAAAAAGGGTTACAGATATATAACATAGTTTTTACAGACAATTGTGATGCTTTGTGATGCTTTATCAGTTAAAGATAAATTAATACTACAGTAATAGTGTCTCTGATTTTGATATTTAAACATTTACATGGAGCCTACTTGACCGTTTATAATGTGATGAACCCTCAAAATCCCCATCCTTCACAGACATAAGAATTTTTCGCGCGAGGCAGCTATTCAGTTAGTAAACAGATTATTCGGTGGCTCTACTAGGATGCCAGCTTGTTCCTGAAATAACGCAGCGATAGAAGTCTGTGTTCCATGAATGCCCAACCAAAAATGTCTGAATTATCTTCGTTATTAATGTACATGAAATACACAGAGAATACCATGCTAGTATCTGATATTACACAAGTTTTGCAAGGCTTAGCAACAAGAATGCATTTGTGAAAAAAATATGGAACGCTATAGCTGCCTCAAGTTATATCATTTCTTTTTATCTTGCCTAGAAAGCGTCTTATTATGTCAAGTATAAGTGTTGTGTTGCCATGGTATTTTGTTGACTTGTCTAAATATTGCCTTATTATGCGTAACAGAAGTCTAATGTCTTCAAAATGTGATGTTGACTTGTCTTAACATTGTTTTATTATTTCGAACAGTAGTGTTATGATGTCAAAATGTCGTTTTTGCTTGTCTGAAATGTGTCATATTATGTCAACTAGTCGTGCTATTTGGTCAAATTGTGGAGCTGTTTTGTCAAAAGACTGTCTGATCATTTGAAACAGTAGTGTTCTCTTATCGAAATTTGGGGTTGACTTGTCAAAGCACAGCTTTATTTTATCAAACAGCTATGTTATTTTGTCAAAATACGGTTTTAAATGTATTAACATTGTCTTATTGTGTCAAACAGAAGTGTTAATTTGCCAACGTACGCTACTGAATTGTCTTATTATATCAAGTATTCGCATTATCTTGCCGAAATGGGATGTTGACTGGGCTAAATCATGCCTTATTATGATAAACTGTTTGCTTATTTGTCCAAAAGCGGTTTTGACTGGTTAAAACCCAATCTTACAAAGTCAAAAAATTGCGGTATCTTGTCGAAATGTGATAATCACTTGTTAAAACTCTTTCTTTAAATTTAAAACAGAAGTGCTATATATTGTCAAAATTTGATGTTTTCTTGTAAAAAACAAAAACAGTCTTATTATGTGTAATATTTGTGTAATTTTGTTCAACTTTAGTTCTGTCTTGAGAAAGCGCTGTCTGATTTTGCTAAACTGCCCCGTTATCTTTTTTGCTCTATCTTTTCACGCTCTGCGCGGGCTCTGGTCACGTGATACAAAATTTGGACCATATCGCATCTGGACAGGATAACACGATTATCTGACATAATAAGACGGTATTTAGACAAGTTAACGTAATAAATTGGCAAGTCAACGCCACTGTATTACATAATGATACTGTGTTTTAACAAGTAAACACCACATTTGAAAAGGAAAAATGATTCTTCGCCATAAAAGGACGATGCTAAGTCTAATTAACACCGAACCTTGACAAAATAAAATGTCTTTTTGACAAAAAGAAAGTAATTTATAACAAGTCATCACCAAGTTTCGACAAGATGATATGATTATTTGACATAATAGGACGAATCTAGACAAGTTAAATCTACATTTGGACATGACAGTGTGACAGTTTGACAAACTAAAATAGCGATTTAACAGTTCATAACCAAATTGTGTAAAGATACCACCATTATTTCACATAATAAATCGGTGTTTAGGCAGGTTATCATAAATTTCGGATAAAATAGCATGGCGATCTGAGAAAATAAGGCAGTGTTTAGACATATCAATACCATCTTTCGACAAGTCAATATTAGTATCTCACATAATAAGTATATTTTTAGACAGGATAAAAACAGTTTTAGACAAGAAAGCATGATGTTTTGGCACAATAATACAGAATAACACCATCTCATACAAAGCAACATAACAGTTTGACAAAACAGGACAATACTCAGACAAGTCAATATAACCGTTGAACAAGATATCACTACTAGCCGACATGATAAGACATGAGTTTGACAAGTTGACACCAAGTTCCGACAAGATAACACTACTGTTTCACATAATAAGACAATTTCTAGACAATTTACCACCACAGTTGGACAAGACAGCATACTGTTTTGGCATTTATAAAAGACATTCTTTAGGCAAGACAACACCGAATTTGAACACAATGACATGGCAATCTGACAATATGTGACAGTGTTAAGACAAGTCAATACCACATTTGGACAAGACAAAACGACAGTATAACATAATACAACAGTGTCATAGCAAACCAGGATCACAATTAGACAAGATGATACCAAGTGTCGACAAGATAACACTCACGGGGGAGAATCACGCCGTTCGTTACCCAAACAAACAAGATGGCGGATGCAGCCAAAAAGTAGGTTTTTCCCTTTTTTTCTCTCTGAGATTCGTGATGTTTCTAGTGTAAAAGTACATATAACAACCTTCTCTACAGTTTTTCCTGGCACACAGGATTTTATTTCATGATGTTTCGTCCCGTACTTCATCTGAAATGCGCGTCACCAGATTCGAAGCGAGAGAATTTTCCACCGGTTTGATCGTGGTAACGTACGGCTTTTTCTCTAAAATTCACTGTTTCTTTTACATATATGTATATTAATTGAAACCACTGACTTTAAAAAGTTGTAATATGTTGTCAAGTAAGCAATCATGCCCATTCTGGCTAGATTTACTGCTGTAAATATTAATATCGGGGCATTTTCCGGAAATGATAACGTATGGCGCACAAAATATCAATGATAACGTACGGCGCATTTTACTACTTGGTGGATTTCCATTTGTCCAATCAGCTGATAATGAATTATTTTTTATGTTGGAAATGATATATATCTGAAAAAAATGTTGGTCAGGTCAGAAATAATTAATTGAACAATGCTGCACCATCGGATATAAATATCTCTCTAGCTGGTGGCATAATAGATATTCGTTGTTAATATACCAATTAAAACACACGTGTATAGTTTGAGAATATTTTGTATAAAATGCAGAATGGAAAGAAAAGCCTCCACTTTCAGGAAACATTTGTGTAGTGTTGTCTTCACATTAAATTTCACCAGTGCTGTGCGATAATTATGGCCTTATCCCCTTATCAGAAAGAAGAAACGCATTCAGCAGAGCAAAAATGTTAAAAAGGTAAGGACGGCTTGATATATTTTCTTTTCCAAAGAAAAAGTCTTAAATCATTCCTAACAAATTTCTGATAAGAAAATCTTAATATTTGAACCCGTCAAACAAAATTACCCAGTCACACTAGAGCTTACGATTACTTGCGACTACCGGCGACGTGTAAAACCGACGATCAACGGCGATTGTCTGCGACCAAGCCCACTTTGAACAGATACATTTACTTCTGCGATTTAAGTACGACCAATCATCATTGACAATCGCACGACAGGTCAACCGCCAAAGTACGATGGTCTCAAGATTGCCTGGGATTACTTAGGACTACCCGTGACCTGTCATAATATCACCTACAACTTGTCTTACGACAATCACACGATTACTAAAGATTACTCAAGATTATCAGTGACTAGTGGCAATTTGTAAAGACTGTCGTAAGATTGTCGCACTTTCGAGCGACGATCGTGCGACAGCCTAAGACCTTATAAGATCACTAGCAACCTGTTTGATCGCAGAGAGGTTTTTGTGCAAGCTCAAAAACCTCTCTTCGACTGAAATTGGTCATGTGACCTAAATAAGATAACCTGCGACTATCGAAGATCACCGATGACCGTCGTAAGACGTTTTAAAGATTGTCCGCGACCAGTGGTCACTGGTGATCGTGAACTAGTCTTTACTGGTCATAAACTCTTATGTGACTGGGGCTATAAACAAAACGAAAAGTGATTGCGACTAGCTTGAGATGAGCCTGTGTTTATTCAATCTGGTCGCTCACTGAAAGAAAAATACATAACAGAGAATAATGAATGAGTGTAGGTTCTATATTGAATTTATTGAATGAGTTAGAAAATAATGTTATCCGAAAAACTTCAATGAATTTAGTTATCGCATGGTTTGGAACTTTTCCTTGTTCTTACTAACCCTTTATACTCAGTACACTTCAACGAGCATTTGAAAACTGTATTGATATATAGAAGTACAGATTTTTCATTGATTCATATAGAAAAATACTTGACTGCTATTTAGTGATTGAGTTTTTTTCGCACCTTGTATATATCAATGCAGTTTTTTCACAGAGGCTCCAATGGGTCAGTGGTAACGAACATTCCCAGTAGCAAACAAGATTGCATTTGTAAAAAATGCCATGCCACCGCATAAATACAACACTAAATAGTAATGTAGGAACACAATTTTTTTTGTTTCTATACAGATTGCCATAAGGCATAGATCACTTACCTATCTGTTATTATCAGATTAGTACCTTCAGACAATAGGATTTTTAATTTTTTACTTTATGACATAGTGACTGAAAATCAATGATCCCCAGGGGCGGGGCCAATTTTGACCCAAGGGCTTTAATTTGAATAATCTTGCTAGAGGTTCACTACACAATGTTTCATGCAAAATATCTAACCTCTAGCCTTTGTCAATTTAGAGAAGATGATTTTTTTAAGTTTTTACTATATACATATGAGGAAAATCTATGACCCCCGGGACGGGGCTAATTTTGACACTAGAGGCAAAATTTGAACAACTTTAGTAGACTACCTATAGATGATAACATATAACAAATATTAAAGCCCACTCTAAGGCTTGTACCTTCAGACAATAAGATTTTTTTTGATTTTTTACTATATGTACATATTGAAAATCAAGACCCCCAGGGCGGGGCAATTTTGACCCCTAGGCTATAATGTGTACAATCTTGCTAAAGGTTCACTATACAATGTTTCATGCAAAATATCTAACTCTAGCCTTTGTTGAATTTAGAGAAGATGATTTTTTAAG